AAGTGGGACGATAGAACTTCTATACGGTAGGAGAAGCATAGAAAGCTTGCCCTTCTTTTTTATGATAATTTTCTTACGGGATTGTATACAATGAAAGGTACAAGGAGGTCACAGTTACATACAACTATCTGATGTTAAATTTGATAGCTTGGGTGTGTCACAAAATTCAAAAAAAAATTGAACTTTGAGCTTGTTCAATGAAATAAATGCAGCCACCCAATTTCACATCCAATGGTCAATATTAATTGTAACCACTTTGTACCAAAAGTAAATGGTCTTATTATATATTTTCCTTTTCTTTTTTCACTCTGTAGTAATATTTAGAACTGGTAATGGGTAGGGTGCCCCATACCGGCCTGGACAGCTCAGGACTAAAAAAGTAGGCATGGCTACAAAATGTGGCTTGAGGGCCAGGTTAGGGCCACTGCCAGCTTGGCTCGGCCCAGCCCTTTTTTTCCTTATTTTTCTTTTAGCTCTTCTTCATTTTTTTTTGGCCCGGCCCGGCCCTAGCCGGTGCCTTAGCCAACTCTACGGGGATAAGGGGCCCGGCTTATTGCCACCCTTAGCATTATTTTGAAGGGAAGAAGCATCTTGTAAGCTTGGTGGTCCACAGTTACAGCGGAGAAAACATCAAGCTAATCAGACTTCTATGGCCTGGTATTTTAGGAGGTTAAAAAAAAGGCTGATGTTGAAATCGTAAGACTCGAGATCACATCGTCCATCAAATGGAAAATCATTTGACCTCTTCTACGGAGTGAATTCAATCGTTTGTTGTTTAAGATTGACTACTAAGTTGACTAAATAACACGCAAGCTTCGGGCTAACAAAAAAACCCAACGACTCGAGTAGGTAGCTACATAATAATGCCTCTATTCTAAATTTATATGTTTCAATATTATTAAGGATATAATAGCGTTTGTTTTTTTTTTTTAATGTATTCTCATTAATAATTCACTGTTTCAATTATATTAGTCCTGATAAGGAAGTTTTTACATGTAAGCGTATTTATTTGAGAAGGGCTTACTTTATTCAAAAGTAACTTATTGAAAATTGTCGAGAAAAGTTACACAATTAAGTAATATTATATGTAATAAAAGATATGTATCGCACAACTAATAAAATAATATTATACAGAGTATATTATTATTAGATAAAATAGTCTACTCCTAATAGGTTTAACTTTCATCTTTATAAACCCTAAATCGAAAAGAAAAAAAAGAGGAAAAAATTACAAACCACACGCGCTATACATTCCTAGGTGTCAAATCTTGGAAGTCAATACCATAACTAACCTCTTCACGATAAGAATCTCCTATACAATTGTGTTTTTTAACTGAATTGCGTGGAAACACACAATAAGATCGTCTAGCTTTATTATAATGTTATAATAACAATCGGCTATTATATTCGAAATTTGACTATTGAAATTGTGAAATCTGACAATCAAAGATGTGTCACTAACCACACTTAAAATACCAGCACGACATAACCATGCTTCTAGCTACTTCATTTCATATTTAAGGACTAAAAGTAATTGTAACCTTTCTTCTTACGGAAAAGTAGAAAATGTTCCAATATACAAATACCTTGTATATTTTTTCCTCTTTATTTTATTCATTGTATTTTTCTTCAAAACTTCCATTCCCATAACATCATACGCATACGTTTAGAACAAAGTGCAAGCCTCGTACGATGACACCCGACACAAAAGGGGGCCAAGTACTCATTGCCCAAAACCCGAGATCTGCGCGACCCGGTCTACTATAACTTGGATACCTAATAAGACAACTATTTCTTTTTTTTCATTTCCCTTTCATTTTCTTCTAGGGTTTGTGAGCTTTGAAAGAATAAAAATGGAAAATAAATCAAGCATTTCCAAGCACTTTTATCACGTAAACATATTCTCGTATATATTTCAGCGACTGATCTCTGCACTGACTCTTAGACACAAATATCGCCTCCTCTTCTCAAACGTTAATATCGAGAAGCTTTGTCACCTTCAAAAAAATGAAAAAAAATTAAAAAAATTCTAAAAAAATCCCTCGTTTCTCCTGAGAGAGATTTGATAGCTTCATATGGCAAAAAAATTAATTAAAAAAAAGAAAGTGCTCCAGGTTTATAGCTGGTAATAGGGTTTAGAAACACTCAAGAGCAAAGCCATTATGACAAAAAAATTGACAGGAATAGCATCCCCATCATCTATGCGTTTTTAGCACAAGGGAAGAACCCTAAATTAGGGTTTCTGGATTTTGCTCAAGAAAAAGATCAACCATTCTTAGCAATTCGTGTTTGGTTTAGAGAGAGAAAGAGAGAGATATCAGAGTTAGAGAGAGACAGCGAAAATCCTTAGGATTCAGGCGTGCGCCATAATTAAAAGAGAATAATAGGTCGGGGCGGTGATCTTCACTGTGCAACACTATCATAACAGAAGACCGAAACCCAAGCAGAAAAAAACGTAAGAAAGAAGGAGCACTTTTTTGCTTTCTCTTTTTCGGTTTCATTCATAAGGTTAATACACCAAACGACACTAAAACATTAAAAATAATAATACTTAAAAGACCAACCCCAAACCCTTTCTGTTTTCTTTTAGGGGGAGGGCTTGACTAGACCCCAAAAGCTGTAATTTTTTCCTTTTGGAACAGTGTTCAGTTCCTAACTAACTATATGTGGAGTTAGAGAGAGAGAGAGAGAGGAAAGGTAAACGTTCCTTCTCTCTTCCTTTCC